TCCCTTGCGGGACCCCATATGGGGGTCACGACCAACACTTTAAGCACTACCCTAGAGGATAAATCTTCGGAAAAAACCATCATGGTGATCAGTATTTCAGATAGCATGGTGATTCAAGTTAATGCCAAATTAGTAGTGACAGATGAAGACAACAGAGGGTGACTTAACCCGCCATTGATGCATCTAATGGCTCTACTTTTGTCTGGGTAAAGAAATTGACTTGCATCTCCTTTTATATATCAATTCCTGTCTGCAGATAAATTGACCACAAGTGCTCAAAAACAGCACTTCTAGCCTTCTGATCAAAATGGACCAGCAGAGTGGCCTTTAGCAAAATTCATTCATCATAAAAAAGGGAATTATTGTATGTAGTCAATATCTGCAATTGAGAGATTTCCATTGTTCCTGTTTGTAGGAAAAATTTAGTAAAGAGAACCACCCTAAAAACCCACCCGCCTTAGTTTTAGCTTGAGTGCTGCTTTATCACAAAAATAGCCACAGTCACAACTTTTGGAACTGGAGGTGAATATGACATTACTGAGAAACATGTCTGTATACTTTACGGCCATTTGTTTCTGGGCCCTCCTAATACATCTAAGGTTATGGATCGGGCTAGGAAACACAAGCCTAAGTACCACCACACCATGGAACATTTACCACTATGCTACTGTACACAATTTTCAGACATGGCATTTGTAAAACACCAGGATATTTAAAGTTTTAAAATATGTAAAAAATATGTAACCAGATGAGGTCCTTTAATCTGAAGACAGCGGCTGAAGCACAAACCATTAACATTCTGCATTTATAGCAAAATACTACAGGATTTGTAGGAAAAAAATTGTACAGTGAGTAAAACACAATTAGACAACTTCAGGACAGTTTCTTCTCACACACACTTCTTTAAAAAAAAGTCTGTAAGGACAGTCAAGCAGTCACATATCTTCCATGAAATGACTTGGTGTCCAGATGTTGTTAACAGGAAAAGGTATGTCTCCACACTGGAATGTCCACACAGAAGGCTCTGCAATAGCTAGATGATAGGGTGGGGGGAAATTTAATTGCCCCCTTCAGCTCTCAGAGTTCTTTCAGTTAAGGGAGATGGCTTGAAATTTGAAGGAGACAAAAAACTAAAACTCTTCAGTCATCAAATTTGATTTTCTTTCCTTGCCCTTGATTTCCACCTCTGAAGCCTCCACCTCCTCTACCTATAAATTAAAAGAAAAACCATGAAGAGCATTAAATAAAACACACCACACGTGAGTCAAACTAAAAATATTTATGCGCATCTTACCTTTAAATCCTCCTCCACGTCCACCACCTCTGCCTCCAAAACCTCCACGGCCGCCGCCACCACCCCTGCCGCCTCCGAACCCTCCACGGCCACCTCCTCTGCCTCCGAACCCTCCACGGCCACCGCCTCTGCCTCCGAACCCTCCACGGCCACCTCGCTGACCTTCACCTTTAGGCTTTGCAAAATCTAGAATAACTTTGTTTCCATCAATTTCTCCATCCTCCATTGCCTCCCTGGCAGCCTTAGCATCTTCAGCAGAGGAGAAATCTACAAAGCCAAATCTGGTTGGATGGGGGGAAAAAAAAAAGTTATAGCATGGAATAATCAGATGTTGAAAATACAGAACTATAGATATAAATCAGTAAAGCTCAATAAATACAGTCCATGTTGTAGCTTAAAACACTAAAAAGTACAGAAAAAAATTGGTTGATGTTGACCAGTGCTGGACCAGTTTTTACCACTGCTGGACTACAGGACATGTTCCACTTAGCGGTGATCTGTAGTCCAGCAGTGTGAAAAAATAGGCAGGTGTACAAAACTTGCTAGAGACTAGTGCAATAAAGCCCACAACAATGATTAGTAGCAAAGTACATTTCTGACAGGATCAAAAGTAGCCTTTGTCATTAGAGTTGGTTTGCTTAAAAACAATCAGCTACTACCCAAGTGACAGAAGCTTTCATCTGCTTCGTACACAAAATAATTTGTTGCACAGAAGCCATTCACTCCTCAATTGAGGGTCAACTTTAGGTCAGGAGTGCACTCTATCCTCTTGCGAATCTGTTCATTGCCACATGAAGCTGGCAGGACAGAGCTCAGGGAGAAGTTATATACAATTCCAACAAATAAAAAAAACTCGAATGCAGGCATCCGATTTCTGCTACCAGCTATGACTTAAGGTTTTAACACTCACCCCTTTGAAGCTCCAGTATCTCGATCGGTTACTATCCGAGCATTTACTGAGCCATCAAAAGCTTCTTTTAAGGTTTCTTCAGTTGTGTCTTCAGAAAGTCCTCTGACAAAAAGTGTTTTTGACTGAGTGGACGCTAAAGGAACATTAAAAAAAAAGTTTTAGGCAACTGCAGAGTAAATCCCATAGCAAACATCTCTGCATGCCACTAATCCCTGTTTTAGGTCTGTGGAAGTTATGTAAAACCCATTAATACAAGTCTCATTTGGTCTGTTAATATACCATTGAAAGCATTTTGCTATACCAGTTTGAATTTCTGAGGTTATTGAGAATTTTTTACATCAGTGTCATCTTGTATACAATGCCAACTTCTTTAAGTTAGCCATCCCAGCCCTTCTCTTGGGACTACAGAATTAGCCTTTAAATTGTGAGAATAGGTGGCTGAGGAATTTGGCAGGGATGACAACACAAGCCACAAAAATGCAGCGTGTTGTCAGCAAACAGGACATTGATCTCTGCTTCTTTCCTAAAATCAGGCATTTGTCTGCTCCAGTGAGATTCCAAATCGTTGCACTGAGTATCATGCTATGCTGCTCATACGTCAATAGACTTATTTGATTTTCTAATGGAGTGACTGTGTATATTTCTACTAGGGATGTCGGGCCCGATACAGGGCATTTTGACAAGTACTTCTACTTGTCAAAATGCCCCGATGCATAGCGCCGAAGCTTGCGGGGGTTTTTTTTTCCTTACCTTCCGTGCCGGCTGGGGTCCTCTGGAAAGGCTGGAGGAGCGTCACTGCTGTGTGCGGAGCTCCAGGTGGGGTCTAATTTAGTTGGCCGGCGACCTGGAGCTCCACCCACAGCAGTGACGTGACGCTCCTCCGCTCAGAGCCGCTGTCCTCACATGGGAGGAAAGAGGAAATTGGCAGCTCGTGAGGCACCTCCATTGCACAGGCACCATCAAGTAAGGGCCTGTGTTCAAATCATGTTAGTAACATGATCCATCCTATTCCAATCTATGGATCAGGATTTTAAACTAATACGCTATATGAAGTATACACTATAGTACACACACTTAGTTTAAATCATGATCTATAGTACATACATAACATGTACTTGTACTATAGATCATGATTTAAACTAATAGTGTGTGTACTATAGTGTATACTTCATATAGAGTATTAGTTTAAAATGTTTACGTTTTATTGCCATATACTATGATTGCATTTCATACCCACATCATGAATTACTATACTGCCATAGCACCTCTGTCAACCTTTTACAAATACTGTCTGAACTAGGAAAGCTTGTTATTAGAATACACTTAAAGGAGAACTATGAGGTGAGTGCTTTTCACTCCTCATAGTTCTAGCCGACCTGTGACAATGAGACTGTCACAGGTCGGCTCAGTAGAGCGGGAGGTGAGCGAACACATGCCGGTATTCGCTCACTTCTCGATCCTGTCATGGCTCTCTGCTGTGACAGGGGAGGGGGATGGATTCCCCCCTCCCCGCCAGTGCTGACTTGCGGAACGGATGGGGGCGGGTACATCTGGCTCTGCCTCTAGATAGGCAGAGCCAGCTGTCACTCACGCAGCTGGGTGGATCTCGAAATAGATATCCACTCCGGCATCTCAGTGTACCGCGAGCCGTAGCTTGTGGTATACTGAGCTTAGGGTGACGGGAGGCCGCTAGTTTGTGTCCTCCCGTTACCCTGAGAACTATGGGGAAAAGCCCTGACCCCATAGTTCTCCTTTAAAAGGCAATACTTCTGAGCCACCGAACTGCTAGATTCTGTTTGGAGGTGTGATGCTATAGAGAGTTCCTATAAAATGTGTTGTCCAATCAGATAGTACTGTACTATGGATCATGATTAACCTAATCATGTTAATAGGGGCGTAACTAGAAATCACAGGGCCCCATAGAAAAAGTATTGGTAATTGGTATCGGCAAGTACATGGGGGCCAGTACTTGTACTTAAAGTGGCATCGGGACATCCCTAATTTCTACTTGCGATTTATCAATCAGCCTAGCCCTAAAGTACGTTAACCCATTAGCAACGTAGAAAAGTAAAGAGGGTGCACAGAAAAGAAAAAAAAAAGTACATGAGTGAAAAACTAGATTGCATTCTTGCCTGGATCCAGTCTTTATTGTACGCATTCCTTTTGTGAAACTAAGGTTTAAATAGCATCACACTTTAAAGACTTAAAACATAGTTTAACTTTTTTTTTTAAGTGAAAGATCCTTTACTAGTAGGGAGTCTATTTATAACAATTCCAAAGACCCTTCACATATCTGAATTTTTTTTGGGACGAATTATGCCAAAAAAACAAAACAATGTTCAGAACATTTTTCTGGTAGGAACATACTGTCACGTAAATCTACATTAAGGCCGCTGGATGGTGCCAAGCTGTATTACGTGACAACATAATTACGGTAGAACTGAGAAAATGATATTATAGAATTCAAAGGCATTATTCCCCCTTTTTTGAAATGGTAGACTATAGACCACAGTCAGCCAGCTTAGCAAGTTAAAGCTGGATCAGTACTTGACTATCTAGAGAAACTTTTGTTTTCATCAAGGTTACTCAGATACAGTCATCATCATTTCCAGCTTCAATTTGCAACTCTGAATAGTTTAGTGTGAAGCAACTCTCCTACCTTGTGATCCACCACTTGTCTGACTGAACTCCAGTCTTATTGTCCTGCCTTCAACCTCTGTGTTATTAGAAGACTCCAACGCCTCCTTCGCCTCATCCACAGAAGAGAATTCTATAAATGCAAACCTGCAAGTGTAAAATTGTTATAACTTAGTATAAGAACCATTATTGTGGCACCAAATAGGTACTAGCACTCATTTAAAGCAGAAATGTTACAGGTATTCAAGCTATTAACAGTATTGATAGATGCAAAGTATTACCAGTTATCATACATACCCTTTTGGTCGGCCTTGATTATTTTGTGGTATCCTAATAGAAGTTGCCTTTTCAAAAACTTCTTGCAAACTGTCTTCAGTAGCATTGTAGGACAGATTGTTCACAACAAGTACCTTCGACTCTCCTAAAAAGAAAGATACCACTGCATGTTACATCTATAGTTACTGAAACTCAGGCAGCTAATACAGCAGCACTAAAATTATCTGAAATCTTCATTTTACATATATATCCAACGTGCATCAGAAATGTACAATCTCAAAACATACATTTCATAAAAATCCCCTCATTATGTATATACCCCAAATGCCAACAGGCAAAAGCAACATTCTAAAATTACACAATTGTTTTGATGGTGCTTGTGGTTCAGATAACTACAGAGGACTCAACAGTGCTTCAGACAAAACAAATCACAAACCTCCTGATGATGCTCTTTTGCTTCCAGAATTTTGACTCTTTCCACCAGTGTAATCTATAAAGATAGCGCGGCCTTCAATCTCTGCACCTTGCTTTTCTTCAATAGCTTTATCTGCCTCAGTTTCAGTGGCAAATTCCACATAGGCAATCCTAAAAGACATACATTAAAGTATTAACGGAACATGCTATGCATTTGGTTATTCTGTTTGCGTAGACCATGCCGATGTGAAAGACAATGCTAATGTGAAAGTCTTTAAACCAGTGGTTCTCAACCTGTGTAACCCTGGGACCCACATTTGTTCGTGATCATTAAGTCGCAACCCAAGTTGCACTGCAATGGAGCGCACGGCATTGCAGTATTGCACATTCCGGTCCGGCCGATCAAACTGTGGGTGGGAGGTGCGTTTGGGGTGCCATTCAAAAGATCCACCCAGTCTCCCTACCATATGAGAACTGGAGTTGATCTTGGGGTCCAGTGTGGACTGCTGTACTGTGACGGCGCTCCATCCATATGTTCATTGCTTGTACAGATCCCTTTGCCCTGTAGGTAGCCAGAATGTGACATCACTCTGGTCCAGGCACCTCTATAGGACACGTGCGGGAGCACCACGTATAGATGTAGCTCCCTCACGGCCATAGCCCCAGCCCAGGAGGCTGATGAGCTTTCCACCTAGAAAAGTAGAAGTCACGCAGCGACCCACTGAACATGGGTCGCCGCGTAACACCAGTTGAGAACCAAGGCTTTAAACCATGGCCAATGGTAGTCCAGATTTGACAAATATGGGCACCAGGAGGTTTACTCATTCCTGAAGTAGTAACTGACATTGTAAACATCATTACAGAGCCACCAATGGTCATAACCTGCATTAGGGAGCCACAGATAAAGCATAACCCCCCTCCCAAGATAATGTGCACTGCCACGGTATGCAAAGTTAAAATCTGCCACCAGATCACTTCCAGGGACCAGTAAAGTGTTCCCCCAGTGGGCCCAGAATGACTAGTGCCAATGGGGAGAGACCAGCAAACATAGATTTGCAAATCTCTCCTCTAAAATGGAGCTGGGAGCCTGCCACCAGTAAAATGCTAATCAGAGGGGTACTACTGCATTTTGTTGCCATTTCACAAGAGAATGCAATGTTTAAGCATGGCAAAACTTTTTTTTTTTTTACTATAAAGAGGGTATTAAGTTTTTGTGCACTAAAAATTATGGACATTTTAGTTTGAAGAGTTGCACCAATATCATGTGACAAAATTGCAACCATTTTATTCTACAGGGTCTCTGCTTTCAGGAAATCTGTAACTTGGGGGTTAAGTAATTTTCAGGACTAAAATGGGCATTATAATGTGTGCAACAAACGCTAAGACACTGACATCGAAATTGTTAAGGACGTCCCAATACACAATTACAGCAACGGTCAAGGCACCCGTACTGCAATGAACCACACCATATTTCACATATTGTAGTGCACCATTGTGACATTTAAGTCACAATTCGCACCCCACCCTGCTTTTAAGGACTGCCTCTTGAGCAGATGATCATCTCTCCAGGAGTTCCTCCACCGCTGATGATTCTTTCCAGTAGATTTCAGGAGTCCCTCCAGTGCTGGTGCCAGTCTCTGACTTCTCAGGTCCCGCGGAGTCTGTATGGGTACACTCTGCCAGCTGCTTACATTGACTTACTCTTCTCCCGGCCAAAGATCTCTACTGTGCATGCGCCCACCCCATGATCCTTCAACGCCGCTTGAAAATCTTATGCTCTTCAGACGGCAGCGAAGACACAGGTAATTACCTATTTGGTAACTTTCTTTACATTTTTTTGTGTATATATACTTGCAAAAAAAACACCCCACACACAAGTTTGATTCTACTTTAGTAGGCATTTCATTATTCTGAACTTCAAAACGCATGCACCTTTTGCTACACAATTTATTACTTCCTGCCTTTACAGTATGGGTCAACTTACCCCTTACTAGAACCATCTTTTGCAGTCGGAAGACGTATGTCTTTGGCATTTTCAAAAATCTCTTGCAAATCCTCTGAAGTTGTGCTATAAGGGATATTCTTAACAAACAGAGTCCGAGCATCTCTCTCTAAGAAAAAACGAAACAAAACCAGAGTTAGTTACCGGTAAGTCTATCTCCAGTAGTCTTCCAGGACAGCACGGGAGAACGAGGGATCAATGTCTAATATTGCAGGGACAAGTCTATAATTGTGCCTCTATAGATCGTTGGTTCGGCCACATCTGGAGTATGCGGTCCAGTTTTGGTCGCCGATACTGAGAAGGGATGCCCTTGAACTGGAGAGAGTCCAGCGGAGGGCAACAAAACTAATTAGGGGAATGGAGGACCAGAGCTATGAGACAAGGCTTCTGACCTTAAACATGTTTACGCTGGAATTAAGGGGGGATATGATTTTCATGTACAAGATGTTCAATGGTGACAGCAACATTGGCAACTGTTTGAGATTAACTCCCATTACAAAGACTAGAGGCCACCACCTAAAGTTGGTTTAGAAAAAATTCCAGCACAATGGGCGAAGAGGGTTCTTTACAGTAAGAGCGGTTAAGGTCTGGAACTCACTGCCATCGGCAGTGATTTCAGCCAAGAGTGTAGATTTGTTCAAGAAACGTTTGGACAATTTCTTAAGAGGACCGTAATATCCAGGGATACCAGCATCCCTAAGAATGAGATGATAAGTGGACCTATATGGGTTGGACTTGATGGACGTATGTCTTTATTCAACCCCAAATACTATGTAATAGCGCCCTCTGTAGTCCAGTTGGAAGAGGATCTGGACTTCACATGCAGTTGGTTTACCAACAGCATGTAAAATCCAGATTGTTCAACTGAACTCCAGAGGGCGCCATCAGGAGAAAGTCCTCGAGTATAGACATTGATCACTCTCACATACGGTCCTGAAAGATTAAGGAAAATGTAGTATGAAGTTGCTGAACACTCCTTTAAGCATCAAAATGCTGCATTTTATAACCTGAAATCCTATTTAGAACAATTTTACAGACACAAGATTGACAGGCGTTTCAACAAAGTTGCAAAGCAGCTCCGGAACTACCACCAAAGTGATTCTTTCATGCTATTGCCCAATGACAGCACTTAAATATGGATACTCTAAAGCAGAGTATACAGTTATATTTACTTACAAGATTCCTCCAACGATTTTCAATGTGGATGAAGGAATCCCCTGCTGTTTAGCATTATATTCGGACAGCAGCCGCCGTCAGAGTACCTGATTGGCTGCAAGCTTTGTTTGGCCAAGAATTTTCCAACCTGTTCCTTCGATCAGCTGATCGAGGGATGTTGGACAGAAGACTGCCAACAGGGGAAGCCTCCGAATTTCAGTCTGAGGGAATTCACACTGTACAGCCCACTTAACAGTGAGAAGTGAATAACTTTGGGGGCAGCAATTGTCAAGCCCTGTTAAAATACACAGGAGGAAGTAATACTTGTAGTAGGATG